TGGGGAATTCTGGGAGATGAAGTCCATACATATGAAAGCTGCCAAGGTCGAGAAACACTGGGTTACAACCTCCATTTTTTAAACTGCAGTTGTGCCAAACTCAGCATAAATCCCACTCAAGCAAAGCAGGGGTTTGATGGCTAACCCCTACACCTATTCCAGCAGCTTTTCCCCTTTGCTTCAGCTTTTGGAGGGGAGCCACACCAAATTATCATTGGGTAGTTTCTCCAACTTGGCTGTCACAAGTAAAATTCCCAGAGTTTTATCCTGGTTTGTGCAAAATTGGGCCTTTGGGCTCTAGTCTGATGTGAGCAGGACGCCAAAGGTTTTCTCACTGTTAGCTCTTCCAGGCAAAACCCAGCTGGGAGGAAGACGAAAGCACCACCTTTCATGCCAGGGGGGAATAAGTGAAGGAGAAGCCGTTCACCCTCTCTTTGGGAAAAAAGTGGGGTGTTTTTCTCCATGCTTGACTTTGGCAGAAAGGTTCTGCTGGGTTCTTCCACAAAAGCTGGGACTGGGGGGAAGGAGCAGCCTCCAAGAACGCCTTGGCTCCCCAACGCTTGTGAATCCCTGTTGGTTGTTTTCCGGTGTCATGCTGACTTTTCCTCTTCTGGATGTCTACAACCTAAAGACTTTTTATCGTTCTCGCTTTTAAAATGGAAGCTGCCCGGAGTTGTTTGGAGTTGGGTGGCCTCTAAACTATATATATATATATATATATAAATAAATAAAGTTAGTTTATTGAAATAACCCAGTGGCCTGCACGTATTTAATTTGAAACTTCTCAACATGTTTATCTAAGAAGTCCCAGGTCAGTATTTAGCGAATGAACATGTTTAAAAAAAAGGCCTGTAAAAAAACCCCCCCTACACTATTTAATAGCTTGGTATAACGAAAGTTAACACCACACTCTATATTTCTGTCCAGAATGTATCGATCTCCTGAGTAAAATTAAGCTTTAAAAATACTTACAACCTTGCTGGAGGAATCGATACTTACTCTTAGGAAAACCTGATTTACAATGGCTTTGTTTGCATACATAAAAGTTGTGAGCAGCCCAATTCCCAGAGAAATGCCTGTCAGGAAAAAAGGGTCAATTATACAAGCAAAAAAGGAAAAGAAAAGAAAATGAACCAAATAATAATAATAATAATGCACTGAACTGAAGTTTCTTTAAAAAAAATGGCAAAATTAAGCAAGAATTGCATGCGGTAACATTAATGCTCTCTTGGACAATGAAACGAACACAACTGGCCATTCTGTACACAGGGCACCACAGCCCTGAAGCGAAACAAAATCCTATACAATTAATTAGATTAGTGAGAATCCCAGTGCTGAACTACTAAAGAGCATGTTTGCAGCTCTCATAATGGAGAGATTCAAATATCTCAGGGGAAAACCTGGTAAAGGGCATGTTTTGGCTGTGTGTTCCTACCTAGCAAGTTCTCTACCTTATTCTTCCCTGTCCCCGGCACCATTACACAACGAAGACAGAGCACAAAATCCAGAAGGAACAGGAACTCAAATCGGGACAGCCTATACTCAGTAAATCAGTTAGATTAGAGCCAACGGAGTCAACTTTATGAAACTATTTTTAAAGTGCGTAACATAGCCACGTTTGTTCAGATAGCACGACCTCAAATCTTTCATATGCAGCTCTACCTGGCTTTTAAAAAGTCGCTCTCTTAGCAAATTGCCAGGACTAAATATAACATTATAAATTTAATATATAAAATAAAATAAAATAAAATAAACTTCCAGATGACCAGCAGCAGGATGGCCATCAGTTAACAAAGGAGGGGCGTGCAACGGTTAGAGAGGAGAACTGGTTCAGTTCACACTGGATCGTGGATTATTCACCTTGGGGATTTAGGACAGTCGCTATCCCGTGGCATAAGCTGCCACACAAACTTATTGTAAGGCAAAAGGGGCAGGTTTTTTGCTCCATAAATAAATATGGAAAATGAGGTTTGGGTATCAGCCTTGGATCTAATGGCCCAATTTGGATGTTTATTTTGAAACAAAATCTCCCTCCGCATTCAGTATAGTATCACAGCTGCCACAAAGGAGTGTTCTATGGCAGTGCTTCTCAACCTCAGCAACTTTAAGGTGTGTGGGCTTCAACTCCCAGAATCCCCCAGCCAGCCATGCTGGCTGGGGAATTCTGGGAGTTGAAGTCCACACACCTTAAAGTTGCTGAGGTTGAGCAACACTGTTCTATAGGATTCTTCTTGAAGGGAATCTGTGTATTCTGATACAGCAGGCTCTCTACATCCTAGCACTGCCATGAGCTGAGAGTCCCTGTGTATATGGCAACAAAAGAACAAAAAAAAATTTAAAACAAATAAAAAAAAACACTCTAGGTCCTCATTAGCATTTTTTTTCACTGGAGGTACCTAAAACAGGAGAAAAGAGCAGGAATGGCATCAAAAGTCACTTTTAGGTGAGATGGGCGGCTGTATAAATACGATAAAAATAAAAATAAAACAGGTGGACCTCTGCCCCCCTCAAAATGGGGAAACTAAACTTCAAGATGAAGCTGAGAACCAAAAATCCGAATGTGGAAAGCGATGCCCCAAACGGGGACCATTTAGGCTTCTGTTCCTTTTACTGAGGGAGCTGAAAACGGGAGAAATTGTCAAAAACAATTGTGTTTCTTATTACAATATAATCATGGAAAATCAGCCTCTTCGCTGAGACCAGGCATCGCCAATCTGGTAGACAGAGAGGACTACAGCTCCCATCAGCCCCAGCGTAAGGAAGGCACCAGATTGCATAAAGCCAGCTCAGAGCAACTGGTAGAACAGAGTTTGATCTGAAACAGGTTCAGTTACATCAGTTTGATAATGCAGGTTTATGCTTCGTAATTGCAATTGACTATCTTGGTTACTCTGTGGGTATTTTTAAACCATTGTTAGCATTCTACTAACAAGCTTCCATTTACTGGTGATAAAAATGTGTATCCTCAAATGAGGTAGTCATTTTTTTTTCCAGTGCTCCTGAAGGAGATAGAACAAAACACAGGACGCTTGTAATTTTCAAATAAATGTTGCAATTTGCAACACTTTTTATAGCTTAGGGCTTTCTCCTGATTTTGGTTTGGAGTTTGTGCAGAAGCAGAGAAAGAGAAACCATTTTGTTTGTACTTGGCACAATTTATAAAATCAGTTTTGGGTAACACAATTCAAGATAGATATTAAAAAATAGGAAACTATTCAAAAGGACTCTAAACCTGGTTTGAATTTTCAATTCAAAACTCCTCAGAAAAGAGGGGAATGTGATCTTCTCTATTGTGGACAGAAGGAAAAGGTTTAAACTTAGCTTCCATGAGGCCTTAATTCCACAAGACTATAAAATAAGATACTGAGGATCTTTTAAAGTTAAAAAAAATGTTTAAATCCATGCCTAATTTTTAAAGCAAGTTTCTGGCGTTTGTGGTTGAAACAACATGACCAGAAGCACTTGGGGAGGTCTCAGAAGTCCCAAATCAGGTATCAAAATTATGAAAACCAAGGGAAAAAAAAGATGGAAACTTAATTGGCATGCTTAATTTATACAGGTTGTAGAATTTAGCTGAGTTTCACACTGGATTTTTAGGGTTCAAAACCTCTGATTTTGAGGTCCACACTGGTCCACACCCAACCCATTCTTCACTTTCAAATGCACTCTTAAAAAAACAGCAGTTTCTAAAACACCAGTATGTTGATACACTACCAATTATATGCTGCATGAGAACTTTGATGGACAAAATCAAGATGTACGGGACACTCCTGTGCAGCCACTGAAGGAGGTATTTGAACTCAGAGAGAGAACTGTCCCTTTGTTCTTCCATAGCTGAACCCCCAGGATGACCTCCTCTCGCTTCACCGGGCGACTGGCCATGCGGTCGACTATGAGTCCCCAACCGCAAATGTTGCCTGGAGCCAGCATTTACCTCGGGCTCCCCAGTAGCTGAGGTTACTTGAATGTGAACATCCCCTCCATGCTGGCAAGGTTCTTCTCCTGGCAACCTTGTGGCATGAGCGCCCTGGGAGGAGGAGCTATTACTGTGGCCATCGTTGGGTACACCATGCCGAACATTCGAGTTGGACTGCATGGTACAGAACTGGTGGTGATCTGCTTCAAATTTCTGGATTTGGGTGTAATGATTCCTAAAAGGAACAAAGAAATGAATTATTAAGGAGAGAACCAGCATGAGTTAGGAATGAAATAATCTACTATTAGTGAACAACTACAACCAACTATGGAGGTTGGAGGGTTCTCCATCATGGGAGGTCTTTAAGAGTCTGGACAGCCACCTCCCAGCAGTGATTTTATTGGTTTCCCCACACTTTGCAGAGGGTTGGACTAGATGCTGGCTGGGGAATTCTGGGAGTTGAGGTCCACCCATCTTAAAGTTGCCAAGTTTGAAAAACATTGGACTAGGTGAACCTTGGGATCCCTTCCAACTCTACAATTCTATGATTTTATAGTTTCCATGGCCCCAGAAACAAGTTCAGAAATAACAAATATAAGTTGCAGCTACCTAGATTTTGTTTAAATAAAAGAAAAGACTTCCTGATGGTCAAGAACAATCTATCTAGGGAGGTTGTGAGGTTCTAAGAAGAGGCTAAGAAGGATGGTTTAAGTGATTTTCTTGCAATGTTGCAGAGAATTGGACTAGATGGTCCTTATGATCCATTCCAACTCTACAATTCCATAATTATAATTGTTCTTCAAATGTATATGCCATCAATTGCATTTAGACTCATGGCAGTTTATGCAAGTTTATGCAGTGACCAGGCGGGCAACATTTGGATGTCTGAATGCTTCCCCATGGCACATGCGGCTTGCCCTCACATAGTAAACTTTCAGTCACTGGCTAAGTCTTTTCTATTCCCCCGCCTTTTACAATATTTTGAGATACGATTTTAATCCCTGCAGTGTGCTTTTAACTGCCATCTCTGAAAGCATTTTCCATTCTTGCAATTATTTCATGCTGGCCTGGCAACTTTATCCATTTTAGATTGTGCTCTCAGGGGGATGGAGACTACTGCCAATCCAAAGTTGTAAGACTGAGACAGGAAAGAGCAGCGGCCAGATTTTTTGTAAGGCAATCCCTTAGGGCAGTGCTTTTTTAACCCTCCAAACGTCTCAAATGCGTGGGGGTAGCAGACCCCCCCCCCCCCCCCCCCC